GTACCCAACGCCAGGGTTCGAACCAAGCACCTTCTAGTTGCAAGGCTAGTGAGCGCGTAGACCACTAAAACATTGGGACCCAATCCAATGACCAGCTCATGAATTCTAACTTCTGCCAATTCACGACATAGAGCAACCAGTAGCCAACGTCTTCGGTGAGTATTTATCCTCACCTCCGACTTGCTGCACCTTACCCCTACTGGTCACGACTTCCCACTAGAACCCAGGTAACTACCTATCTAAATAGAGCCAGTCGCTAGTGAGCATTTCATTGATTTTCAAGTACTTGTAACCAAATAACTGAGTGCAGGTCACAGGTTAAATTTGAGTATGTAACGCAAAAAATCAAATTGACATTGAGGTGATGGTAGTTGAAGAAGTTAGATAAAACGTTTCTGAACATAAAAGTCATGCGTTTCCTTATGGATTGCTAGAGCTTCTCCGTCTGTCTGTATGAAATTACTTGTGAATTATCAAAATCTAACTGACAAAACTATGTCGCATCACAAAGTTTCAATTTTAGGATAAATCGCACACAGTAAAAAGAACCGTTGTAAGATTAATTCAAACCCCATCCTTGAATCAAGTCAACCTGTCCCGGATCAGCCTAGCGTTGTTGCGACCCAATTATCCATGCCTAACGTGTCTATCCCACCTTGTTTAGTGAATTGTGTGTTTTTACATAGATCTGTTTAGTCAGACAGTTGAACTCATGACCCAATCAGAGTATTTTTGTGAACTGTTATTTTGTTGACCCATGTATTACTTTGTACTATTCTTCCATATTAGTTTGTTTATTAGGTATATCACACAGTGAAACAGTATTATTTACTGGATGACGTTTCGAACAAAATTTATTGTTCATAATCATATCAATTGTGATCACACGACTTTGACACTTGAGTTTTATAGTTTTCTTTGTTCTCTCCTATTTGTCGTATGGGTAGTAAAATTTTCCAGATATCTGCAACAGAATGCATATCCGAAATCCGTAGATGTCGAGTCACCTGATAACTCCAGTAGGTCGAATAAAGCAGCTCTATCTTCAGAAAGAAGGCAAAGCAATAAGTCCGACAGGGTGCTTAATCTAAACTCTAATCCTAAACACCATAATTTTGAAAATACGTCTAATCATAAAATTCTAGATACTAACAGTTTGAACAGACATGAAGGCGTGATGTTAGCTGATGCATAGGAAATCCTTATTAATAAATAAAAATGGATATGTATCACTGATTATTAATACTTGGTCAAAATTCTCGACTGTCCATATCTTCTTATGGAGACGTTAAACAATGTTTTACAACTGTTCACCCACACACACATACTTACTTTACTTCGGCTATCTCCTACGGGAGGATGAGCCGGCTTCATGAACATCTCGAATCATCGCTGCCCAGGCGCGGCGATCATGGTGTGAGTCGTTTGTAAGAGAGTTCATGAAGTTTCATGAGGATTTGGTACGAGTGATGTCCCCAGAATCGCTCGGCCTTTTGGTTGAGAGTGCAGCTCTAGCCTTTACACAACCAAGTGTGACCTACAAGGCGGTAGGAGTGGAGAGGGAGTCCACTATCCATTGGCAGCCGGTGACCGGAGTTCGGTTCATACGCCTTTTTCAATGGGGCCAGACATCCAGGACATCCAACAAGCCCTTTGTCCATTCGTCTGCCGGTGAGCTCCAGTGAGCTTCATACGCCAGTCATTGGAGGTTTGGAATCAGGGTTTAGCCATCTCCCCTAGACTGTCACCCAATGGACAGTCAACCCGGTGAAGAGCGTCGGGCATCCGCTTTCGCCCTCTCACTTTGGTGAAAAACACCGCCACGTGAAGGCAGTGAGTAGGACTTCCTCAGGAGAGGCTACGTAAGACGCCCGGTCCTATAGGAGCATTTCAAGAGGTGTGCGGAGGGGTGGCCAACCCGCAGCGCAAGGCACCCACCCCCGACCATCCTGAGGCTTTGGAGACACATACACACTCTGTTTAAAGTGTTTAACAAAGGTAGACCAATATTTGTAATTCCGAGGTCAAATTTTAATCACAGCTCATAAAATTTTGTTTATTATACTTGTTGGTACTTTTTGAATGACTCATGATTGGACAAATTTTTAAAAACAAGTGATGTTCCTTTTTCTATATAAAAATTTGTTATGTTAATTTCGATTAATTTCCCTGAAGAAGTTCGGACCAGATTGCCGAACGAAACGTTGGAATTACTCATTTCAATCTTGCAGACACTTTACAAATATAAATTATTACAAATGTCTACTTCTCACTCGGCGCCCAAATATTTTAGAACTATTCTGTCAAATCTTGACGACAGTTCATTTGAATTAATATGGAATTAATTACTACCACAGTGCCCAAGTTTTACACATATATTTGTACTATTCTGCCGAGTTTATCTTATTTATTGATCTTCATCTGTATCAGCCTACCTGGTTAAGTAGCCAATTAAATTCTATCTTTGTGCTTATGCTCTGCCTATCTCTTACTTGGCTTCATTCTTCTACTGACTGCTTACCTAGTTCGCAGTTTTGGCCTTAACGTTATTCCGCTCTGATAGCGGTAGCTTGCTTTCTGTTAAGCGTTGTGCTTTGTACTCTTGAAACCGTTAAGGTTTGTTATATATATAATTATCGATTTGTTTATTAATAGTACCGTAGAAACAGTGACTGGCTTCTTGTTTGTTCTGGACCGGGATAGCCTTTATCTACGCGTGACTTAATTTCAAGCGATATTGCGCTTACAACCGTATTATTTACTGCATAATATTTCGAATACAATCTGTTGTTCATAATCATATCAAGTGCAGCTAAACAACTTCAAAACTTGATTTTTAAAATAATAATAAGGACAACATGAATGAGATACATACTCAGGAAGATGACAATGCCAACAATAGAGAATTCGAAATATCAGTAGTGCTGCAGTATAAAAAAGTGAACCCCTGAAACCTTATGTAGGCTTCTTAACAAATCAGGTATAAAAAGTGACATTCGAACCCCACAAGATCATTAAGAAATAAATAGTGTCAATTAGACGATCGACCCTATGGAGTCCACTAAACAAAATAATTTAGTGTATTTAATACCCGGCAATAATTGTCAGGTCAAATACACATAGGTCGAAGTAGTAGAAGCCGGGGTCAATTAGAAAATCTAAGCATAAAAACTTGTTGAAATCTACGTTAGTTGTTTCGAATAAGAAATAACTCACCTATACACAACAAGCAGTTACACACACATTAGGGTGGGACAAGATGACAGTCTTAAAAGCTCATGTAACGAAGAAAAGTAGAAGATATTGGTCACTGTACCTTTATTTATTGAATCGATTGAGAATATGTGCAATAGGAATGATTCAATACCTTTTCTGGATATTTGTAAAATTCTATTAGTCATCCGACAAATGGAAAGGTAGATGGAGAACTATAAAAATCAGGTTTCCAAGTTGTATAGTTATAGCTGGTGATATGATAAGGAACTATAAATTGTGTTCGTAATGTCATCTAGTAAATAATACCGTTTCATTGTGCGTTGTATCTCCTGAACAAATTAATACGGAATAGTTGTTTCTATTAGTTCAACGGCGCTTGTGGTGGAGCGAGTTATATTGGCTGTTACTCTAAGAACTTGATTTTTTGTGCTCACTCGGGAACATCTACCAGTGTGGCTAAGTAAAAGTGTAGTAAAAACCATCAACAGTTCGATACCAGACCACCTGGTTCAAACCGGCCACAAAACCAGCCAGCATTGAAGAAACCTTCTCTATCATCTACCGGATAGCAAATAAATTGCCGAATACGTCCAGGTAATGCATACTCCAAACAGCAGAGGTTATTGCGATTCGTCTCAAACAACCAGTACTTTGTGTGGGCAAAGGAAGCTATGGCCTGACGCGCGATGTCACCCAGCGGCCTCCTCAGCGAGTGTCCAATCCATCTACACTTTCTCCTGCATATTTGTTGAGCGATTGGTTCTTGTTTCGTTTCTTCCCACAGTTTCTTGTTGGTTCTTGTTCTTTCCGGCCATCTGATCTTCAGTATACAGCGAAGACAGTTAGTTGTTGATAAAGGTCTGTAACAGCCTGTTGGAAATATTCTTTGTGACCCGCCGCCAAGTTTCTGATCCATCCGTATAGAAGAACTGACTGACTTAATGTTTGTAATGAAAATCCGAATTTTGTTGTTGATGTTGAGGAGTGACGAAGATTTCCAGATTGATTTCAGGTTGATGAATGTGTTTCCCGCCTTCCCGATTCTCGATTTGACATCCTCGTCCATCCCACCTGCCTGTAGTTGAGAAAATGCTCCCTAGATAAGTGAGTGAATGAAGTAACCTCTTTCAAATCCCTCCCGTTGATGGTGATTGGCACTGGATGTTGCTGCTGCTGTTGTTCTTGTTGTTGGTTGGTTATTTTCATAACCTCCGTCTTGTCTATGTTCACCTGGAGTCAGTCCTGACTTTGCTGCTTCTTCGACCAGTTTGTCGGATTTCGCTTGTTAGTCTTCGATTTTGTGTGACATCAAACATAAATCATCCACGCGCGAAATCCAGGTCTTCTAGATTCTTCACATCAGTCCAGGATATCCCTGTCTTCTGGTTTCCCACTGTCTGACGCATAATCCAGTCCACCACAGTTAGGAATATCATTGGTGATAATAAGCACCCTTGTCGGACTCCTGTGTTTACTCCAAACGCCTCGCTGAGTTTTCCGTTGTGGCTCACTTGACATGTGTCGTTGTCGTACAGCTGTTGAATAAGGTTGATAAATATTTGGGGTACGCTGTAGTACTCGAGTAGTTTCCAAATTACTTCGCGGTCAACGCTGTCTGTTGAAGGCCTTCTCAAAGTCTATAAAGTAACACCCAGCCATTTTTGTAGAAAACAAACAGTACATGTGTAATGTAACCATAACTGAAGCTGTCACGATCAGTTCAGTATTCATGACTACAGCTTCAATCAAATAATGCATTGTGAAAAAAGAAAGAACAACAACTGTAACTTCTTGTAAAATGCATATAATAGATTATATAACTATAACTAATATAACCATCAACGAAGAAGAAGGCAGATCATCGCTTTTTATATTTTACAGATGATTAGCTTTCGTTTAATCATTTCCGGTAAAAAAAAGTGCTTGTTAAGAAGCTATAACAGATATTTAGCATGCAAAAGAAACAAAACATAATAACCCATGAGGGTGAGAGAAGAATCAAATTAGAAAAGATTACCTTAAATTTCGATAAAAGGAGGTATACATCTGAGGTGTGAAAAAGGCAGCAAAACAGAAGAGAAAAGAAACCACACAAAAAACCCAAGATAACAATTGAACACGAGAAAAAAAAAGCGACTGTCTCAAAGCATGCAGCCCGATTTTACACGAAACGCATTATACTACTTATTTGTATAACAGTAGTATAAGTCCAATAATAGAAAACACTTCAGGGACATGCTTGAACCGGAAAGAATAATAAGGGCTTCTGTTTATTTATTCCATAAATCATATTGACTAGACAATCAGTTTTATATTAATTATTTTTTTGAAAAAAAGTCAGTAAAGCAAATGTGTTATACGTACAAATAACGATAGGAAAGCGATATAAGCTGATAAAGTTTACTTGTTCTCTTCATTATCGTTTTTCGCCATGGATTAGTATTTCATCAAGTGGATTTTTCCGCATTATCGAATATACTGATTATTATTAGTAGTAGAAGTAGTAGTCAATTAGCCTTTGTGATATCCATTACGAAGTGGTTTTTCAGTCTGACGTTTAGATGGAGGGATTAAATGCTCAGGAAGAGAAGGCGGTAATTCATTACCTTCTAATTTTAACTTCATTAAATAACACACCAAGGCGAATTCATCTTCATCTAAACACCCGTCACGATCAACATCACCAAGAATCCAAATATTTCTCAGTGTACTATTGGGTAGATTACATGTAAGCATATGACTGCGTGCAGCTTCTCCACTGATTTTACCATCCACAGGATTCAATTTAAGGAAAATCTAAAACAATAAACGTGAAAATAAGTGTAAAAATTTAAAGGTATGGATATAAGAATCGAAGATTATCAAGTGAGAATAGCTATACAGTGATCATATAGATTAAAAGGGGACATAATTGCATAAGTCACATTTAATTTCAAAGGCTGTTAATACTATCTCATGAGTCTAGATAATTTTTCAACGTAATCTGATGTTCAATTTCGATTATTATTATTATTATTGTTTCCTTTAATTCCTAGAGGAACATAGGGCTTCAGCCGTGCGTCTCCATTGCGTTCGGTTCTCTGCTACAGTCTTTACCTGGCTCCAAGTCTGCCCACACGTTTTCATCTCCTCTTCACATGACCTCCTCCAAGTCACCCACCCTTGCACTGACGACCAACTCGCCGCTTCCCTTTCATTCGGATTCCACTCGAGCAATGGCTTGTCTAGTGATGTCACTTAATGGGTGGTTTCCTCAGAGTATGACCAGCCAATCCATCTCCATTTCTTCCTGCCTATTTGTTTCACAATCGGTTCCTGCTGAGTTGGTTCGCTCATTGACAGAGACCCTCTCTGTTGCTGATCTTTTCTGGCCATCTGATCTTGAGTATTGAGCGAAGACAACTGTTAATGAAGGTCTGTAGTTTGTTTGAGATGCTCTTTATGACGCGCTGACCAAGTCTCTGATCCGTATAGTAGCAAACTATATATTATTAACTGATATAAGAATAACTTAGAAAAAAGTTAGGAGTAATCAAACCCAAGCAGAGTAGTGGTCTATTTTAGTGAATTATACATTAAAACTTTGAGATATATGTAATCAGAAAGACATAATTTGATAGGTGAAGAAAGTAAATCAATAGAGAAGATTATGAACATTCATCAACTGTAGCAGTTGGGACATATGTTATACTTCCAGAGACACAGAATTCTTCGACAAGCAATAATATCTGCAGTAGTGTTAAGCGAGAAGAATATATGAGAAATGATCACAGGGTAAAACTAAAACACTAATTCATGAAACGTATGACTGCTGGTCTCAACAATATAGGTTACTTCTGTTGGATTCTTTGAAGACGTTAAGAAGATAAAGTTGGAAGCTTTCTAACATAGCGAAAAATCTTCCATTAAAAGCGCATATTTATTACCCCACCCCCACCCCTTTTAACATTTTCGAAATTGTAAATATTTAAAGTGATATGAATTTCAATGTTCTCCCTCGCCCTCTCATACTTTGAAGTAATGCAAGATTCTATGCTGATTAGTCTACAGTTAATCTATACAAGCTTATGGAGTTCGACTTGAAATACATTCACCTCACCTTTACCTTGTTTTGCGTGGATCATGCAGGAATATGATACTCTGTCGCATATATTCTAGTCACCAACTGGCTCACTGACTTAAGTACTCAGTTTTCAGAGGATGGGTAACAGGTTCGAATCCCTCTACACATACTTCAGCCTAGGCAGCTAGTGGGTGTAGTAAGTACCATCAGCCCTCACACGTTAAGTGTGCAGTACATGAGAAATCTGTTCTGGGTATTATTATTCCCCTTTGGTTCCAAGTGGAACATAGGTCTTTAGCAGCACATCTCCGTTCCATCCTGTTTTCTGCAGTCGTCCCAGCTTGAACAAACGAACCTTTGATCTAAATCGTTTACGAGAATATGCGAAACATCTGGAGCTGATGACTACAGAATTTATATGGTTCAGTTCAGGAACTTACAGTTGTATTTCCCTATTATTATTATTGTTATTCTACATTAGAAGATCACTTCTACACTGATATGGTATGAATACTGGTTTCTGCAGAGTATGGATATTATTCCAGTTACAATATTAATAGAAATCAGTTCATCTCTAGTTCTTTGATAGAATGTTCGCCAACCATTTGAAAGGTTCAGGGTTCATTCCTGACCAACGTACTCCTAAACCTCCACTAGCCGGTGATAAGCCCGGAAAACAGACGGAGTTGGGCTTGTGGCTAACGATCACACAACTACTGCTACTTCAAAGATCGAATCAATCGGAGCACAAAGCAATGAAACACAAAAATAAGTGGAAAGTCATGATGAAGTCATGTATTTATTTTCACCATCGTGTATATACAAATTAAACATGTAGAGGGCATGTGTGAGCAACTGACCTCAATCTAAACAGAACACATTCGTTTTGTCTATAAAAACGGCAAGACACTTAATTCAAAAAAACAGTTTTTATCCATGTACAACCAAGCTAAATGTATAGCTAATCAGTGTACACGTTTATTATTATTTTTTTATTCAGTTTAAAAAAGCTATAACACCTGTAAAAATCGATATAGTTGTGAATTGAAGTTTAAGCTAGGTTAGCCTAGTTAATGATTATTTTCCGTTACATGGTATAACATTTGGCAATATCTGGCTAGCATAAAAGTTCAGAATTTTGCGTTTTTTTCTCTAAATGGACATTTACGTTGGAATCCATGCATATATATACCAGTAATCGGTATCAGTACTATAAATAACAGGCACGAGAAATTACCTAGCTCAGTAGAAAGTTAATAGGTGGCTCACTATTATTACTATTTCCTTCAGTTCTACGTGGAACATAAGGCTTCAACGGTATAACTGGATTCTCTCCTGTTCTCTGCAGTCCTCTTTAACTGGCATCACGAATGCCTATAAGCTCACAATTCCTCCTTACGCGATCACCTCCATGTCACCCTCGGACCAATACCCAACGCGTTGTTTCCTATTCGAGTTCCACTCGATGTCACTCAACACGGTCTACTACTCAGTGTCCCCCAGATCCATTTCCTTCAGAATATTTGTTGAGGAAGAGAGTCCTGATTGGTTCTATCCCACAGTTCCTCGTTGTGCTAATCCTTTCTAGCTGACCATCTGATCTTCAGTATGAAGCTAGAGAAGGCAGCTGTTGGTAAAATCCGCCATCAACGGAAGCTTGATGGAAATGCTTCTCGTGATGCACACGCCAAGTTTCTGACCCACATAGAATGTAGAGGACTTGCAAACTGATTTCAAAGTGATAAAGATAGATATGTACTTGCCTTTGCCATCCTGGTTTTAATATCTTCAGTCGTACCACTTGTAGTCGAAGCGATGCTGCCTTCCACCGATAGTGATTGTTGCTTCTTGTTGTTGTTGTTGGTTGATGGGTATCTCTTCACCACCTCTGTCTTTTCAATGTTCACTTTAAGTCCTGTTTCTTCTTTCAACTTGTTGGTTTTCGCCTGTAAATCTTCGAATTGAGATGTAACTTTAAGCATACATGTTCAATGTGTTTCAATTTTTCATGTTCCCCACACAGTCTACCGCATAATCCAGTCCACCACAATTAGAAACATCTTCGATGATGATAGTAGACAGACAGTGTCTCACTTATGTTTTCACTTAAAAGGCTTCGGTGAGTTTTCCGTTATGGATCACTTGATATGTGGCATTTGTCATATTGTCAGCTGTTGAATGAGGTTGATAAAAAAATCAGGCACTGCACGCCGTAATGTTGGAGTAGTTTTATAAATTACTATAGCCTAACGTTTAATTAATTGTGTAACAGTGTAATGCACCTATTCTGTGTACGCATTTCTTTTACCAAGATATACTGACTGACTGACTGATTTTTTCTTGGGGTACCCTGAAACAGAAAGAGGATTAGTGTTGAGCAGCCTTAGAGCCCAGGGGACAACAGCTTGAGGCCGTTCACACATTCGGCCTGTCAGAGCTGGCTTTTTGGTTTGGTTCGGTATCAGTAAGTTACCGCCAACTACGGACTACTGTAGGTTAAGTCGGCATGTAAAAGTTTCGGGGATGATCTTTTCTAACCCCCGCTCCCTCCAGAGTGGAGAGACAGCATAGCTGGTATGCTCATCGTCTAAGGGAAACACCTTACTACTATTCCCGACCGAAAGCTGCTACCTTGACGTGGTGGTCGGGCTTGAACACTGCAATGACCCAACAAGCTATACTGGCTGGAACTTATGTTCCTGCAGGTCCTACCATGCCAGAAAGGTTGTTTGGATAGCAGTTAGACTAAAAGCAGTTACCCAATCCAATCCTATGATTTCAAATAAATCACAATATATCATGCCGGATCGGTCGGGGCCCGGATTAACAACGACCGCGCTTTCTGCTGCCGTGTCACAGGGCAGAAGTGATAAATACGCTACTGAGACACACCAAATAAAAAAGAACAAACAAAAACAGGCCGTGTGTGACCGGCCTCAAGCAGTTGTCCCCTGGGCTCTGCGGTCATGCAACCAACTTCCACGGTGTGGGCAGCCAGGAAGTACCAATCGCCCTCACAATCCGAAGTGCACGCGAAACCCCTCTAATCCTCGCTCATCTTTGTCTTCATCTTCATCTCTATTATCTTGCCTTCCTTCTACCAATGCAACTCCTCTACTTGTTGGCTCTTCACTTCTCCTTCACTCTGTGTGCACTGATAACGATGGAAGCCAAAAAGCCACCACCGATTGTCTCCTAAAACCACGCCACCAATTTTATATAGGAGCATTTAATGTTAGGACACTTTGCCAAATAGGACAACAAGCATCACTAGCCAAGACTCTGGCATCCCGAGCCATTGATGTATGTTGTGTTTCAGAAACACGCATACAAGACCCAAGTGTGGTTATTCACCTAACCCCACCTGGCCAACAGGATGAATCTGCAAAATTCACCTTGAGGGTGTCAGGAGATGCGACGGCTAGCTCACGAGGATTAGCTGGTGTTGGGATAGCTTTAAGTACTAGAGCAGAAAAGACATTACTTGACTGGATCCCGGTAGATAGCCGAATGTGCGCTGTCCGCCTGAACGGATCAGTGAAAAGGAGAAAGGACTGCACTACTCGCCGATGCCTTTTCGTAATCTCCGCCTACGCCCCCACTGACTGCAGTTCGGATGAAATGAAGGATGAGTTCTACCAAAAGCTGTCTAGTTTGCTGCGAAAGGCTAGACGCTCAGATATAGTCGTTTTAGCTGGTGACTTTAATGCTCAAGTAGGGAAACTGTGTCAAT